CCCGGAGGGACCTTTTCCCGGTCGTTTTGGGCACGTGCCACGGTGGTGACCCAAATCCCCACAGTAAGCGCATCTTCCCTCCTGGTAGCGCCGTGCCCGTTCCTCAGGGGGAAGATGTCCCAGCTGCATCGGCTCCTCCGTCAGTTGGTGAGCTGGCCGGTGGGGTGACGTCCTGGTGTGTACGGGGGCTGACATGGTGCTCGGCCGGTTCAGGATGCAGCGGTCCAGTTGGAGAGCCAGATCCACTGCCAGGTCCAGGGAGGTTGGGACCTCGTGCCCGATCATGCCCTCCCGGATTCTCGGTGACAGTCCCTCTAGATAAACGGCCTTTAGGGCGGCGTCATCCCACCTCAACCGAGCTGCTGTCGTCCGGAAGCGAGAGGTGTACTGGGCCGCCATCTGGGAGCCCTGGCGAAGCTGAAGCAGCCGAGTCTCGTCCGAGACCTCGCTGCTGGGGTGCACAAAAGTCTTTTTCATCTCCTTTACAAAAGTCTCATAGTCATTGCAGGCAGGAGATTTCTGATTGTAAAGAGCCGTCGCCCATTCACCGGCTCGACCTGTCAGCAGTGAGGTCAGCAGGGCGACACGAGAGCAGGATGTGGGGTAGCGTGCCGGCTGGCACTCGAAAGTCATGGCCAGGGTCGCCAACATGCCCTCCGGGGATCCCCTGGTTCCGTCCCACTTCTCTGGAAGGCTGAGGCGTGGTTCCATCCTGTCAGGAACAGCTGCGGTCTGACGTTGCAGAGCGGTGGTCAGCTGGAGTACTAGCTCGGTGAGTGACTCGATCTTGGTGGCTTGGCGATCAGCTACGGCACGGAGCTGGTTCATTTCTGCCGTATGCTGATCCAAGGTTGCGCGCTGTTGAGCCACTTCGGCACGCAGACGCGCGAACTCCGCTGGGTCAACTTTTGGCTCAGTCATCCTGTCAGGTTCGTTGGCAGATCTGAAGCGTGACTGAGAGTTCTGTTGCCGAGACGTGGAGAGACGGAGATAACCGGTGTGGTTATTTCCTGTAGGTTGAGCTTGAGGGTTTAGAGGGCTGGTAAGCCTGGAGACTCAATACAAAGTCTGGGGAGAACGATGACTGAGCAATGAATGGAACGCCGGCACTTCCTTAAGTAGTGTCGGCGTGATGACGTCAGTCGCCACGTTGGTGGCAGGAATGAATGGAATGCAGTCAGCTGGAGAAGTTCGTGACAGAACCCTTGGTGAGCGGGTGGATGTGAGGTCCACCAGAGTGGTGGAGGAGGTACGGAGGTGTTTGTGTCGCAGAGAGCCTTCGTTGAGACTTGTACTCTATCTGATGAATCAATGGGATGATGACAGTGAGTAGGTTTTTCCATCTCTGGAGGTTAAAGCAGCTGGTGAGGAAGGGCAGGAGGAGAGTGGATCACTGCTGAACCTGAACACTCCAGTGTTGGGCTCCTTCCAGTCTTGTGGGAAGAAACAGATCTATCACACGTGTGTGAAGGTTATCAATAGGCGCTCCTTGTTAGGAGTCAAGGAGTCGAGGTGGACTCAGGTGTTTGCTGCGGACCGTGTCCCTGGGGGCAGCTGGAGGAGTTTGTATAAGTCTCCAGTAGAAAAAAGGATGGCAGATCTCCAGTGGAGGATCATACATGGAGCTTTAGCTACGAACAGACGCAGAGCCCGCTTTGATCCAAGCACCGGGAGGGATGTCCTTTTTGTAACCAAACAGAGACCCTAGAGCATCTAGTAGCACGTTCTAGGTTATCAGGGATGTTTAAGGTTTTAGAACGGTGGGTTAGTGCACTGGGGGAGACTTTTACCCTACCCTTATTTGTTTTCGGGCCCAAGTACAGTGTCAGAAAAAAACAGACAACATTGTTAATTAACTTTTTATTTGCATGTTCGAAGCTAGCCATCTGGAAAACCAAGATAAACCAGATGCTGGAACAGAGCTGGACTGATGCTGGGCGGAGCCTGAAGGGCCTGGTGGAAGCTCGCTTAAAGATCGAACACGCTTTTTATGAACTTACTGGGAACCTGGACTCCTTTAGAGCGGTGTGGGGGATCGGGCAGGTGCTCTGTCTGCTGGATGGACAGAGCTCCCTAAAGATCAACTTCTAAACTGGTTTATCAGTTTTCCTGGTTTTATCAGTGGAAAACAAGTTTCGGTCATTAACGCTGATTGTTGATTTGTAAAGAAAAATAAATAATTTAAAAGTCAAAAGTCTTTCACTCTCTCTGCTCTGTGCCTCTCTCCATCTCTCCTTCTCTTTCTGTCTCTCTCTCTCTCTCTCTCTCTCTCTCTCTCTCTCTCTCTCTCTCTCTCTCTCTGTTTCTCTCTCCTTCTTTCTCTCTGCTCTGTGCCTCTCTCCGTCTATCCTTCTCTTTCATTCTGTCACTCCCTCTGTCTCTCTCTCTCTCTCTCTCTCTCTCTCTCTCTCTCTGTTTCTCTCTCCTTCTTTCTCTCTGCTCTGTGCCTCTCTCTCTCTCTCTCTCTCACATACTCGCTGATTTATAACTGGAGCTAAACTCTTACCTGTAAGCTGCTGCAGTAAAATATTTATATTTCTGCTCATCTTACGAGATTATAATGTAATGAGAGGTCATTGAAATAATTATGTCATTAGTTTCTCTCATTTGCTAAAGCACAATCCCTGAAACCTTGCTCCATTTTCTCATAACATTAAACACAAAACCTCAGATTTACAAAACCTCTCATTCTTCTTGTTAAATCAAACTTTCACCTCAGAACAGTTTTACCTGCTCAAAATCAAACATTTCTCTCAAATCATAAACAAATTGCTCTAAATTACATAAACTACCAAGCAGTTAGTAAACAATACACCAAAAAACAGAAAGCACAACGTTCAGGGCCATTCAGTTTGTTTATTGTACCCACTGATATACATATCTGCCGATGATTGTACCGTAAACAGCCTGCAATCCATTGTGCTACAGTGTTCAAGCCCTCCTCCTCGTCCCCCACCTCGCATACTCGTACCTCATATCCTCGTCCTCTCACCTGAATTCCTCCATCCAGTGTCCCACTCTCTCATTCCCGCCTTAGACAACCTGTTGAACTTGCTTATATTGGTTGTAACAATTCAATTCAATTCAATTCAAGTTTATTTATATAGCGCCAAATCACGACAAGAGTTGTCTCAAGGCACTTCACATAATAAACATTCCAATTCAGGTCAGTTCATTAAGCCACTCAGAAATAATGTTTCCTATATAAGGAACCCAGCAAATTGCATCAAGTCACTGACGAGTGTCAGTGACTATACAGCAATCCTCATACCAAGCAAGCACAAAGCGACCGTGGAGAGGAAAACTCCCTTTTAACAGGAAGAAACCTCCAGAGAATCCTGGCTCAGTATAAGCAGCCATCCACCACGACTCACTGGGGATCGAGAAGACAGAGCAGGCACACACACACACACACAGACACACACACACTCACACACACACACACACACACACACACACACACACACACACACACACACACACGGACAAGTAATGTGTCTACAGTTATATTGTGATGTCTTAGCAAATATTCCACTTGGTGAAAGATAAACTTTATTGTATTTATCCTAGTGGATCTATAATTAAATGGATAAACTAGTATTAGCACATCAAAAGTCAAGGAAACCAAAAAGTTATTGTCAGGAGAGGGAGAATGTTTAAGTGGTTAGCAGCAGTGTGCTAGTCGATGGCCCCCTCCATGAGGCCACCACACCTCAGCAGAACGTCATTGTAGCTTCTTCTGGGGAGAAAAACACTTAGAGAGAAAATAAAGTTAACAGCTGAAATTGGACAAAATAGTACAGTTAAAGAGCAGACTGTAGAAGAAAGTAGTAGAGTGTGAAAAGTGGTCAGTGTGTCCTCCAGCAGTCTAAGCCTATAGCAGCATAACTACAGAGATAACTCTGGATAATCTATCCTATTTAGATGGAGGCCTGTTGGAGGCAGGGCAAGGGAGAGCCGTCTTTACCAACTGTACACTCCACCTCCCTCTACTCCCCCACTTGTCCAGATTTAGGCTAACATCAGATTTTAACCATAGGCCCTATCAAATAAAAATGTTTTAAGCCTAGTCTTAAAAGTAGACAAAGTGTCTGCCTCACGGACTAAAGCTGGGAGCTGGTTCCACAGGAGAGGAGCCTGATAACTAAAAGATCTGCCTCCCATCCTAATTTTAGATATTCTCTCTGATATTTGAAATGAGTGAAAACTATTTGGACGGATTGTGCTCATCTTATGGGTGAATGTGCCACATGTGTTTACCGTTATGGATGCATTCAGAGTTTTGCTAAACCATGGAAAGGTTCAAGGTTTGGACAACAGACGCAACAGTTAGCTTAATGAGTTCAAGCAACTGAGAAAACTGTAGTGGCCCTCACTGGTCCAACTGGGTAATGCTACAGAGCAGATATTGAGAAAACAAAAACAGATCAAATGTGAACAAGGACAGAAATGATGGACTGTAGTTGTGTGTGTATTTATATCACTATTAATACAGTCTAACTTATCTTTGGCTGTGATAAATGACTTTAAAACTGATTTTTTCAGAAGGGAAAACATTGCTGCTGAATTGTTTTCATGCTGCAGCTGTTCATTAGAAAACTTTTGATGGGAAGAGAAATCTTTATTTTTCTCTCTTCACCAACCGCCACTGAAAGACTCTCGCAGCAACTCTGTGATTATTTTGCACCAAAGACAGTGAGGTCCTGCTAGCCTCACCAACATGGCTGACACAGGCAGAATCCTGAGGTGATCTCCCTGCATCTGCAAGAAATTATGTTTTGCATCCAATTATTACTTTTGTGCAAACATTAAAATTTTATTTTATTTAACCTTTGTTTAGAAAATTCCATTGAGATTAAAAACCTCTTTTTCAAGGGCAACCCGGTCAGGAAAATGACAGCTTTCCGATGCTGATGACACTTCACGGTCTCTTTACTTAACCTTGTGTGCTCCAGAACTGCGTTTATCAGAAGCTGATGTTTAAGTTTTGTTTATTTCAGCATCGTGCTTGCAGAGAATATTCCTGAGGAATTCTCTCTCCGTATGGATGGCAGGCACAGCCTTCCTCTCGCGGTGGGTTTTCACTCACTGCTGGACCAAGCCAAGACCTCGGTTCAGGTTGTGTCATCAGTCTGGAACTTAAACTCCTGGGGCCTGGATCCGGTACCGAGTGCTGCTAAACAGGTAGATTAAGGCAGAGCATTAAAAAACAGAGTTTTATTCCTGCTGAAATGTGATTCTGCCTTTTTATAAACGCCCACAAACTCCGCTCTGAAGCAGAGCATCTCTCTGCTTCTCAGGGTCAGCTCTTGTTCCAGAGGCTGCAGAGCCTGAGACCTCGAGGGGTGAAGCTGAAGATTGTCAGCAGCTGGACTAATTCTACAGAGCTGAAGGCCCTGGAAGCGCACGGTGAGCAGTGGTCACATCTTCATTTTTCATTGAGTCAATTCCAATGCAGGTCAGCCAAACAGGAAAAAAGTTTCCTTTTTCCAAACGCCATCAACCTGTGGGTTTTTCTAAGGCCTAGTCCACACGTAGCCGGGTTTTTTTTTTAAACGAATATCCGCCCCTCCAAAAACTTGCATCCACACCACCTCGTTTTAAAACAAACTCTGTCCACACGTACCCGGATAAATACGTTGTTAAGGACATGCCAGACCTGTAGGCGGCAGTACTTCCCCCGTTCTTAACCTCGTCCTTCGTCTGTGGTCTTCCGCAAGGAGCAGTAATTCCGCTTGCAAAAACAAACAAGCAAAAAGCGCTCGGACAATTGATAAAGCGAGCGCAGCTCTGAGGGCATCCATGCTGTCGGCTAGTGTAAACACAGGTCGCACACGTGATGTCAGCATTTTTTGTCGCAGAAAGTGACGTTGCGGACCTTAAAACTCCGGTTTTGTCTGTCCACACGCAGACACCCAAAACGGAGAAAACGCAGATCTTCACTTTGACCGGAGTTTTTAAAAAGATCTGTTTTCGTGTGAAAAAACTCAGTTTTCGTGTGGATGACAGGCCAAAACGTAGAAAAATATCTGTTTTGGCAGATCCCCGGCTACAGCGCTTTGTTTGTCCATTCTGGCCATGTGAAAGCGCTCTATAAATAAAGTTGATTTGATTTGATTTACGTGTGGACAGGGCCTTACTCTACACATACAATTACTACTTTTGAATTCTGATGTTGCGTTACGTCCAAGATCCAGCAGCTCCACACGGTGTGTGTCAGCCTGCACATCAGCCAAACTTCCCTAACGGGGTCGAAAACCCCTGAATGTGCAGATCTACCTTCCTCCATCCAGGCCGCCTGTCCGAGTTGCTCATGTCGCTGTCAGACAGCTCAAGGCCAGCTGGCCAATTTCCATCTGGATCCTTCAAACTTCTCCCATCACTCTGTCTCTGTCTCACGCTGCCCAGGTGCGGAGGTTCGTTCTGTTAATATGACAGCGCTGACCAGAGGAGGACTGCATTCCTCATTCTGGGTAGTGGATCGGAAGCACATTTACATTGGAAGTGCTGATATGGACTGGAGGTCACTCTCCAAGGTAACAACAAGCATCAGCGTGAGTGTGCAGTTATTCAGCCTATCTGAGGCCAAAGCCATGAGTGTGAAGGGTTTCCACTGAACACGTCATCCATGCAGTGATGTCAAATCACCACAACTCCAGCAAAAGTGAGGAAAGTGCTCGATATTGGCTCCGCCTTCAGCATTCTGAGTTGACTTGTGGGCATTTGTCTGAAAGTATTTTGAGATGTTCTCTTGTTGACTGACTGGAAATGCAAACGTCAAAGTATTCTGAACATTAGAAACTGATAAGAATACCTTTATTTGTCCCTCAGTGGGGAAGTTGCATCATTGCAAGGGCTCAGGCACAGCAGGAGAGCAGCAGTAGCACACAAGATATCACGCAAGAGTATATAGCACTTGTAAATAAAGATAATTATTGCACATAAAGAAAAACAGACTAGGAAAACAAGGAAAAATGTTGACGCACCACCTACGGCACCAGGAATACCCTGTAGCGTGTTTACCTACATACTAGAATCAACACTGTTTGCTATCAGTTGTTAGATTCTGAGAAACGATCCAAACGAGTTAACAAAGAAGCTTCTATTAAATATAAATATCTAGGATATTATATATTCGATAGAAGTTCATATGCCAACGAGCTTGGTCTAATTTTAATCCAAAGATTAATGGTAAATTTAAGATAATTAAATTTCATAGCAAAAGTTTATTTATTTAATCAGAAGTTAAAGGAATCTTTGCTTTTTCAATAACCAGAAATACACACCCTTCTGTGTTCAATTTCAAGAAGAGAGTCAAGTTTTTAAAGTAAAGAATTTATTACTAACACTTTTAAAAATGACTATTTGAAATGAGAATTTTTAACAGACAATTTGATATTAAAACTTGTTTTGAAGGCAAACCTGTGACTGAATGAAAGCTGAATTGAAATGAGAGTTTTGGATGCGTGAATGAATATCAGAAGGTTTCTTTCGGAGAGA